ACAACCTTTATTTACAAGCCTAAAGCGGCCACCAAATCCAACTAAAATGGGACTATTAAGCCTTCGACCGTCCCTCTACATGTTCTGCAAAGCATGAACATACCAAAAGACATGGACATACATAGGCATTACATCAAACATCCTGTTTAGAAGTTTGTCCGTGATATATCGCTGCTCGTCGTCGCTGCTGCCGTTGTCACTATCGTCGCTCGCCACTCCCGCTCCTGCTACCGCTATTGCTTCTCTCAGTCAGCAGCCTCAATCTTACCCTTACACCGCTGCCGCTGCTGTCGCTGCTTGCCACTATCGTCGCTCCCGCTCTCGCTGCCATTGTCGCTACTGTTACTCTTACTCCCTCTACTCACATCGACTTGATAGTATACTATTAACAGTATATTAACAATATACTATTAATTGTATACTAGTAATAATATTTTTTATTTATTAGATTAATAATATATTATTTTAATTTTAACACTGCTAATTTTTATTTATTTGAATTTATTGTTATTGTTTTGAATTTTGAGTTTTTTGTTAATGTGATATTGTGAATCTGTAAGATTTTTTTAATTTAATATCATATTTTTATTTAAATAATTATATTTATTAATTAATTTATATATTTTTATATTTTAGCACCTCATTTCGCTCGGGCGAGCACCTAGCGCCTCGGGCGTTTTTGCACCTTGGCGTCTTTTGACGCTCAGTGCTTTTTAAATCACTACACTCAGCTGTGAATTTAAACTTAATTATTAATAATAATATATTTTAAAAATGTACATGATGTTAATTATATGTAGTTATAAATACCTAGGGACTTAGTAGCCCTTGATCGAATTGCTATAAAAATTTCAAAGAGACTTTTATTATTCTTATATAAAGATAATTCATTTATGATCTTATCTTGAACTTCAATACTATTAACCAATCTTGCAATGCATTGATATAACCTAAATATAATTTCTGCATCAAACTCAATGGAAGGGTTTTTATAAAGGAATTTTGAGTTTAAATTAAGGTTCGCAATACCGTACCGTACCGGTGTTTCGACCTAGGCTCGGTACCGGTACGGTACGGTGTACCGAGCGGTACACCCAGGTGTACCGAGCGGTATACCAGGTGCACCGAGCACTGTAGCACTGCTACAATGCATTGCTACAGTGTACTGGTGCACTGTACTGCTACTATAACAGTGTACTGCAACAGTAACTATACTGTTGTAGTGCTACAGTGCACTGCACTGCTACAGTGCTGCAGTGCTGCAGTGCACTACTACAATCGTACCGGTAGCGGGCGGTCCGCGTACCGTTAGCCTGTCGGACCGGTATGTACCGCCCAGTACAGGCGGTACGATTCGGTATGGCAGACCTTGGCTTAAATAGTGTTATGCTATATGTAGTGTTTGATGAAGATGTATTATCATCTTATGTCTATGATGGCCAAGATATTCTTATACTTTTCTTTATTTTTATCAAAAAATATTTGAATTATTTCCTTAGTTCTGTCCATAGGCTCATAAATATAATTCATTATTGGTCTTTTCTCATTATCTGTGAAAAGAAAAACTCGAACAAAAAGGCCTATTACTTTTAATGCATAGACCATATTATTCCAAAAGAATGACATTAAGATAATATCACTTGCTCTATTGCCTTTTATATCATTTACTCATTTACTTGTCACTCAGTGCAACAAGATAACTACATTTCTAAGGTTGTGCTTTTGCCTATACACACTTTACAATATAAAAAATAAAGTGAAAAATTGAGTGACACCATATCTTACCAATTCCTTGTTGCTTGTAAATTCTCTAGAATCTAGATATGCTCAAAGCCCTAATATGATTGTACATAAATCTAGCAACAAAAATGATCCTCTCTGAGATCTTCTTGATATCTATAATCTTTGTAATATCCTGTAATTTTATATTAACATAATGTGCCTCACATAGAGTCCAATACAAGTGCAACTTTTATGCTTGGAGTAATTTACGGAGAATAAAATTCATAAGATGGTTGCTTCTATTCAAATTAGAGACTTAAAGTAATTATAAGTTTAAAACATTCAAAAGAAAATATTGTGTATGCTATAACAGACAATTGAAACAACTATATCTATTACAACTTGCACAATATATTATTCTCGAATTTCTTTTATAAACTTGTCAAGCAATAAAAGTATTTTTTTTTTCTAGATTTCATAAAGGAAGCTGTATATATGGATTTCACAAACATTGTTCCTAAAGAATATATGATCATAAAATTGTTTATACTCTTTTGACTCTTATCAGTTCTAACATGTGATATAATAGAGCAACCATACCTTGCCATGCATTCTTATGGCCCTTCAATAAGTCATTTGTATAGTTTTAACTCTCTTTTTAGTAATGCAACTATCAGTTCATGATAAGATGTTTTAATTTAGGATCATATCTTCCAATAACTTTAATTATCTATTTAAAACTATCTAAACAAGAAGCATTAAAGGGAATTCTAACTTGATAGGAGAAGCAAGCAATGTATTGAATCGTTCTTGCTCGTATTTCCTTATTACAAGCATCATTTATACTTATTTGTCCTAATTTTACTCCTTTTTGTCCTTGTATAGCTTTCTTTGGTTCTTGAAACATGTACAAGACCATTTGTCGCTTTTTTTGTGAAATTTTAGACTTCTTAGTAATAACAACTTCTTTTCCTCTTCTATCCAGAACTCTCTCCCCACTATCATTGATATTTTCTATATCATCTTCCTCTTCAACATGCATCTCCAAAATTCTAAATATCATCATTCTCTAGTAGAATACTATAAGATTTGGTCTTATGTATCTTTCTATCATTCGATAGCTCTGTAACTCTTGTTCTACATCAAAGTGACTTTTTCCATAATGATGCATTCTTAAAGTTCTCGACTTGATGTTGTTTTGCGTGAAGAATGCCACCTCAGTGGTTGTCTCGTAGAAAGTAAAAGTTATGACATTAGAATCTTTAGGATCCTTTAGATAGTTGTATTTCTAACCTCGATCCTTCTTGAGTTCTTTTCTAACCTACAGCTATAGGGTGTTTTTTTTGTCCTAGTAGGGTGCTCAATCAAGTTTATTTTCATCTAATAGGGTGATGGAAAGTCCTAACAAGGTGTTGTTTTGTCCTAACAATGCTCAAGCTGAGATCATTTGCAGGAAATAGGAGCAGAGATCAAAGTTGCATTGTTATGGGTACCTATATTAGGAGAAAGAGGAGATAGAGAAATTATAGACAATGGTTGGTGGAGGAAGGTAGTGGCGTATATGGTGGAGCCAAGGAGGAAGGCAGCAAAATATGACACCTTGGCAAAGGAAGGCAGAAACATATAACAAAGGAAGGTTGCAATCTCAGGCTCAAGTGAGGTTCATGCGGCTACGGTCAACCATGTAAGGTAGAGAAAGAGAGTAACCAACGTCTTACGATACAGGAACAAAGGACACAAGAACAAACAACTGCGATGGTGTAAGGTTTCTCTCCCGCTGGTATAAAGGGTCGGTTGTGGGGAGATAAGTGGTTGAAATAGTTGGTTGAGCTGAACCAACTAATTCAATTTGATTGACCGAGGCTAACCTTGGCATCATTGACTCAAGTGCACACCTGAGTTGCCAACGCCTAGGCTCAAGTGCATGTGTAAGTCATGCCTGTTTAAAGCGACTCACTCAAACCCTCTTCGAGGCACTTAGGCTTTGCCTCGTCTCACCTGGGTACCTAGGTAATTATCTTTTCAAAACACTGCTTTCAACCTAAATAATGCCTCCACTGGTAGCCCTATGATTAACCCTCATAAGTTGGCAGTAATGGCATGTTCTTTTTTTTACTTTGTAATCAGTTCTTTTGCTTCCCTTGAACAGTTCAGTAGCCATCAAAGCCATTTCTGTTGATTCTAGCTGCTATATTTGTCATCTTTCCTTGGATTTTGAAAGATGGTAGATCTAAATTATAGAGAGCCAATAGCAGCTTGATTATATCTAACAGGCAGGGGGTTTCAGATAAGATTAAGCTTATAAAGTCCCTCTTTTCTACCCAAATCTAAAACGTAGGACACATAAATATGCTAGTCCAGATAACATGTTCATATCTAATTCCACAGGAGACTTTTGCTACATTTGCATTTTGAACGATATAGGAGTCTAGAACTTTCAAGCATCGAAAATTTTTTCATACATATCAAGTTTTTAACTGTTGATAAGAGATAAAGCAAGGGTTATCGTACTGTGACATACCACTCACTCTGAGCAGTATGTATCGATCAGACAAGGGACTGGTATGGGTAGTACATTGGTATGCCCTCATGTACCATGTGTCGGTACACGCGGTATTGCTTGATAAAGTTTAGTACGTATCGTACTAATAGCTGGTTGGTATACCAGTACGAACCAATAAGGCAAAGTATAAGATAAAGAACTATGCTTGTTATGATCTTAATTAGGTGATTCAGTGGATAATCTCCCATCAATGCAAAGTTTAGGCCTTAGGGAGAGTCAATGTTCACTGCATTACCCTTTTAAAGAAAAAAAAAGGCATTCTCGTGATTTAAAACCTAGTCACCTAGATCCAAAGGAGTAGCCATACAACAAGGCCCACCATCTAACTAATGATCTTTACTACAATCACCAATTAAATCATATGACAAATTGAAACATATTGTCTGCTACCTAATTAAAGAATCTATTGTATTGTTCATACCAGGGTTCGTCATTAGGTATCGAAGTCGTCTCATAGATTTATTATGTTGGTATGTATCAATCTGTACCGATATATTAACACATGGTACGCTAGGGCGTGTCGACGAGGACTCGAGCAATCCAAGTCTTGGTTGCCAGTCAAATTAGTTTGTACCGTCTGTATTGTATTGACTCGGGTGGTATAGCAAACATTAGTTCTTATTCATATTTGGCATGTATATAAAACTAAATTAAATTAGTACATTCTTCTGCAAGTGTTATTGTGCTAATGTTTTCTCGTTTTTTATTTATTTAGGTATGTAGCAATCGTACAGCCCGATATTCCTTCGTTTTATGTGTACAAGGCCAGTGATTGGTCAGTTGTTGATTCAGGGACTGGAAGACTTTTCGCTTGGGATACATGTGGTGACAGATATGCTTTAGCAGAAACTTCATTGCCTCCTCGAATACCAATTATTAAAGGGGGTTCATCTAAAAAAGCAAAAGAAGCTGCAGCTGCTGCTGCAGCTGCTCAAGCTGCTGCAGCAGCTGCTAGTGCAGCTTCTGCAGCAACTGTACAAGTGCGTATTCTTCTGGATGATGGGACTTCACATGTCATGACAAGGTCTATTGAAGGTCGTAGTGATCCAGTATGTTTTCATCACCTAATATTCTTCTTATCTTATTGAACTATTAAAGTGGCTAAGTTTCTGTTCATGCAACACATGCTAATAAATAGTTCTTGTATATAGTTACCCAAGTCTTCTTAAGATTTATGGTTACTGAATGTCTCTCTGCCTATGGTTCCACATGTATGTTTTTTTGCTGCCTATGGTCTATCATAGTGCAGTGTTTTCTGATTGATATATTTGGAAAGCATTTTGTTCAAATTGGTAGATTTAACTGTTTTCTATCTTAACAATCTTGCTTTGAAGGTAATTGGATTGCATGGTGGTGCATTGCTTGGTGTTGCATATCGAACATCACGGAGGATCAGCCCTATGGCTGCAACTGCTTATTCAACTCAGTCAATGTCGTCTTTTGGTGCAGCTGATGATCCTTTTTCTTCCAAAAAACCTGCTGTGGGTGCTGCACCTCAGAACTTCCAGCTATACAGGTGGCATGAGTTTTACTGCACACACATTTGACATTTTTTTTCAGTATTTTGTTTATTGAATTGATTAATCACAGTTGTACATTGCCATTATCTATATAAGTATCTCATACCCTTTTATTTTAGCTGTAGTTTTCTTCTTAGTGTATCCTTTTTTTTATCAGAGATGACTTCTTTATCACTTAAACATTGCAGTTGGGAGACCTACCAGCCTGTGAGTGGCCTTCTCTCCCAGCCAGAGTGGACTGCATGGGATCGAACTGTTGAATATTGTGCCTTTGCTTATCATCAATACATTGTTATATCTTCCTTGCGCCCTCAGTTTAGATATCTGGGAGATGTGGCAATTCCCTTTGCTACTTGTGCTGTCTGGCATCGCAGGCAGCTTTTTGTTGCTACCCCAACTACAATTGAGTAAGATATACAGATATACCAATCACTTCTCAAGATAGTTATATTCATTGAATCTAACTACAGATATACAGAAAATAATTACCTTTTCTCTCTTTTATTGCTTTTTTAGTCAAATCTAAAGATGCATCAGTTTATAGTTATTGTGATAAATAGTATTGAGAATTTCTCTTATATGTATAAATCATACTTGAATTTGTTATTTTGGTTCAAGTTTGTAGATGTTTTTATTACCATGTAATAAGTCAACATTTGGTCGTCATTGGTGCGACCCCGTAGGCTCGCGAGGAATTATCCGCTTTGGGTGTGCTTGCATGGTTTTACCCTTTCGGGCCTCAAGCCTTTAAAGGTAAAAGTGACCCAACGGGCTTGTAAGCTATTGGTTCTCCTACTCAACTAATGTGGGACTAAATGTCCTTATCAATGCTCCCCCCATAGGGGAGCCAAGGGTTCATGGTCCTCTTTCTAGTGCTAATATGATAAGTCAACATTTGGTTATCATTGGTGCGACCCCATAGGTTCGTGAGGAATTGTTCGCTTTGAGCGTGCCCGTATGGTTTTGCCCTTTCGGGGCTTGTGAAACCCAAAAGGCGCCTTCGAGTGTAAGGGTGACCCGGTGGACTTATTATGAGCTATTGGTTCTCCTGCTCAATCAATGTATGATGAAATGTCCTTATCAGTGCTCCCTCTTGCAAGAGAGTCAAGGGCTCATGGTTCTCCTTTTAGCACCAATTTGATAAGTCAATATTTGGCTGTCATTGGTGCGACTCCGTAGGCTCGCGAGGAATTGTCTGCTTTGGGCATGCCTGCACGGTTTTGTCCTTTCGGGGCTTGTGAGCCCCAAAAGGAAACTTTGAGTGTAAGAGTGACCCGATGGACTTATAAGCCCTTGATTCTCTTACTACTCAACCAATGTGGGACTAAATATCCTTATCATCATAATTTACTATTAATGATTGCTTATAATTATCTGCATCATGCACATGTATAAAATAAAAAAAAGGATATATGAGTCTCTCACTAATACAAGGTTTGAGGATATTCTATAGTAGTTTGGTCATCTTTATCATGACAGAAGTACAAAAATAACTTTTCATGATTTATTTTACTTGTTTGTTATATTAATTCTAGTGACCGTAAATTATAATTTTTTTTTTCATTGCAGTCACATGTGAAATGGTGGACTAGATACCCATTGCCTTGGCCCACTTTGAATCTAACTGTTCCTTATAAAACAAATATTTGTCTTGGTAAAGCAATGTTCATATTTCTTCATAAATTAATCAGAGGATGAACACAAGAGAATATAATTTTTTATTTATTAATTTTTTTATATATATAAAGAAAGACATATATAGGCAATTGATTATAATATGTACAATTAAGGAAATTGATTTTTCTATAATATTTTATTCTAATTCATTTCTTATAATATGGACTGATTTGATACCGATTGAGTGACCCAAAATAGGAGATAGATTCCCTTAATTATGAGATTATAAAATTTCTTAATTATGAGATTCAAAATCGCTTAATCATAGGAATTTCTATATTACCTCTCAAGCTGCTCGAAGATGTCAATAATTCCCAACTTGCTAGTTAGATCCTCATAAGATCTTTGAAGCCATTTAGTAAGAATATATGTTGGTTGCTTCTTTGTAAGAATATGAGGTATGTATACATTTCCTTCTTCAATTTTCTCCTTTTTGAAATGTCGATCTACTTCAACATGTTTTGTTCTATCATGATGCACTAGATTATGAGCAATGTTGATAGTAGCCTTATTGTCATAGACTCATAGTATAGCCTCATAAAAGTTTCAGTGGGTATTCGTAATTCTTTTAGAAGCATTTTTAACCATAAGAGTTTTACAAATACCTTGTGTTACTACTGAACTCTGCTTCAGCATTACTTCTAGCAACAACTGTCTGCTTCGTGCTCCTCCAAGTCACCAACTCTAATAAATGTACAATATCCTGAAGTTGATCTCTGATCACTTATTGATCTTGCCCAATCAACATCAATGGAAGTCTCAATTCTTATATACTTGTCCTTTCTGAATAATAATCCCTTGCCTAGAGTCCTTTTTAGATATCTAAGGATCTTGTATACTATCTCTAGTTGTTCTCCATGTGGTGAATGCATAAATTGATTCACTACAATCACTGCAAATGCCAAGTCTAGGTGAGTATGAGATAGGTAAATCAACTGACCTACCAATCTTTGATATTTGATTGCATCTACCGTGGCTCTTTGAAAAGGACATCTCAATTTATGATTGAGATCTATTGGAGTGTCCATAAGTTTATAACTAAGCATCCATGTCTCTTCTAAAAGATCTAGGTTGTATTTTCTTTGTGAAACAAATATCCTATTATTTGATCTTGATATTTTTATGCCCAAAAAATATCTTAGCTAGCTAATATCTTTAATTTTAAACTCTTTGGCTAGGATATACTTAAATTTCTTTAATTCTGAGACATCATTACTTGTTATGATAATATCATCAACATAAACTATAAGAATAGTAATATCTCTCTTATCTGAGTGTTTATAGAACATTGTACTGTCCGAGTGACTTTGAGTGTAACTGTGGCCACGAACTAACCTTGTGAACCTCTCAAACCATACACGTGGTGATTGCTTAAGACTATAAAGAGGTCTTCTCAATTTGCACACCATGCAAATTCTCAAAGTCGGGTGGCAGATCCATGTACACTTCTTCCCCTAGCTCTCCATCGAGAAAGGCATTTTTCACATCTAATTAATGTAAAGATCATTCAAAATTAGCTGCAAGAGATAACAATACTCGAATAGTATTTAGTTTTGCAATCGGAGCAAATGTTTCTTAGTAATCAATACCATATATTTAAGTAATCCTATTGCAACCAATCTGGCTTTGTATCTTTTAAATGAATCATCTGCCCTATATTTAGCAGTAAACATCTATTTGCATCCCATTGGATTCTTCCCCTTTTGCAGATGCACCACCATTCAAGTATCATTCTTTTAAAGAGCTCTCATCTCCTCCATAACTCTCTCCATTCTGGAATTAATAGAGCATCATATATATTTTTTAAAATTTTTAACTAGACAAGTGAGGTGTAAAAGCTTTAAAGGCGGGAGACAATCTATGATAGGATATATATTTAAATATAGGACATATCGTATAAGATCTAATTCCTTTTCAAATGGCAATGGGAACATCAAGATTTGAGGAAGGAATAGAATTACTTGTGTTTGTCTGGATCTGCTATCGATTTAAACTCTTATCAGTACTCAGGAGGGTAAACATCGACCTTTCCTAAATTTCACTGTCTTAAATACACACGAAGCTTAAGTGCAATCATAGTGATATCTCCCCTTGAACTAGACTGTGCAATGGCATGTTGTGGCATTTGAGATTTATGTTATGGTGCTGGAAATTTGGATTCCAGAGTATCAATAGGACTAGTTAGTTGTTGGCAGGTAAGTTTGGTAGAGTGAAAGTAGGAGATGAATCTAATAAAGAAATCAAGATTGGTATTCCTAAAAATAATCTTCTTGGTTAAAATTCTCTTAAAGAATGTGACATCCATAGTGATATACTTTTTGTTTGATATATGATCATAATATTTGTAACCCTTTTGAGTAGCTAATGAACATACACTTTAATGCACAAGGTTTAAGTTTACTTCTATGATGGTTATAAATATGGTTAAAAGAAATGCACCTAACTACCTTTATGTGGAAGAGTTAAACAATTTTACATGTGGATAAATGGAGGACAAATGATGAAGAGGTGTTTGAAGATTAGATATTCTGGTAGCTGTTTGATTAATCAAATATGAAGTAGTAAGAATCAAGGATTTTAATTTCGAGTGATACCGCTTATACTGAGCAGTACGTACCGGTTTGCCAACAGATCGCTTGCTATCGTGCAGTACTATTGACCTAGCCCTATATCAAATGATATAGGATTGTATCGGGTGGTAACGGTCGATATTTTGATCGTCCCCACCCGCTATCGGGCGGTATCAGCCTGGCTGCGGTGAGGAAAGAAGAAGCGTTGAGGGAGAAGGTGCTCAAAGAAAAGGGAGAATCAGGAGAACCTTGACGCTCCCTGATCCGGTGCTGCCCTCCCTTGATGATCCCTATCTATGAGGTAACGGAGAGGCGGCGGCTCGGCTTCTTCTTCGCCCCGTTCTTCGCCGAAGGCTGGAGACGCCTGCGGCCTTCGCCGTGTTCTTTGGAGACATCTGAGGCCTGAGACGTTTGAGGCGAATGCCACAGATGAGGAGAAGACCGTGTCTTCTCCTCATCTAACGTGACGAGGAGAAGAAAAGGAGGTGATGCCACCGAGGTAGCGTACGCCTCCTTTTTCTTATTTTTTTATATTTTTTATATAATACACACACACACACACACATATATATATATATATACACACACACACACACACATAGAGCGGTACACCCTAGCATATTGCTTGGTACGCCCGTTTCGTACTGTATAGAGCAAAACTCAAAACGTCGGTACGGTACAAAATTAAGAACCTTGGGAAGAATGATATCTCTTCAAAGATATTTAGGAACATAAGTGGTAAATAAAAGAGAGCATACTACTTTAAGTAGGTGTCTATTTCTTCGTTATGCAATACCATTTTATTGGGAGCTATCAACAAATGAAGTATGGTGGATTATTCTGTACTCTAACAAGTAGGAACCAAGAATGGTATTAAAGTATTCTCTACCATTGTCAATTCTCAAAATTTGTACATTTGTTTGGAATTGATTTTAGAACATGGTATAAAAGTTTTTAAAAGGTTTTTCAGCATCAAAATTTTCTTTTAAGAGGTAAAGCCAACATATTCTTGTATGGTCATCAATAAATGTTATAAATCATTTGGTTCTAGACAAATTGTTACTTTAGGACCCCAAATGTCCTTTATTATCTTTAGCACTGCCAATCGTCTTCCTCAAATATAGGTTTTAAAATTCACAATGAGAAGGAAAGGATTTGGCAATGCAATACAAATCCTTTGTGAGTTTCTAATAAACAATAAATTACGAGACAAGTTAAGAACATGAAGTATAGAATTTAATACAATAAAATCTGAAATTACCAATGTGCCTTTTCTTGCTATAGAAGAAAGTGATCCATCAACAACTTTTATTTTAGAGTTTTCAAGACAAGGTGTGTAGGAGGAATAGTGATTACAATAGGCGCTCGGGCGAGGCGAGGCATGGCCCGAGCGCCTCGCTTCATTTCCAGGTGGCGTGCTTCAAAGAGGCCTGGGCGCTCGCCCGAGCCCAGGCACTGGGCGCTCGCTCGAGCCCAGGCACTAGGCGCTTCAAGCGAGCGCCTAGGTTAAACTAGGTCACCGAACTAGATTTTTAGGTCTGGTTGGTCTCCGGTGCTTTAGTTGGTTCAATCGAACCAACTAAATCAACGATATCAAGCTCCCTCTCGCGATTTCCCCGACTTCCCTAACCCTATCACTCGCGATTTTGTCATCGAGATTCTTCTCCGCTGTCGCTGCTCTCTGCTGCTGCTGCCACTATCACTGCTCACCGCTATTGTCGCTACTCGCCGTTGCCATAATCACTGCTCGTCGACCGCTTGTCGTTGCCACAATCGTCGCTCGTCGCTGCTGCAATCGCTGCTCGCCGATTGCTTGTCGTTGCCACAATCGTCGCTCCCGCTGTCGCTCGCCGCTACTGCCGTCGCTCCCACTGTCGCTCGCCGCTCCCGCTGTCACTTGCTCCTCCTGCTCCTACTCTAATTGTCGCTCGCCGCTCCCGCTGCCACCGCCGCTCGCCGCTCCTGCTCCCACTCTAACTACGGCTATCACCTGCTACCGCTGTCGTTGCCTCAGCAGCCTCGATCTTCTCATACTCTTCTCACTATACTGTTAATAGTATATTAACAATATACTGTTAACTGTATACTAATAATAGTATTTTTATTTATTAGATTAATAATATATTATTTTTCTTTTAATGCTATTAATTTTTATTTATTTAAAATTATTGTTAGGTTTCAGAATAAATGACAAGTGTACAGAGAAACTCAATAGATTTGATGTAAAATTTTATTGTTTTGATTTTTGAGACTTTTTATTAATGTGACATTGTGATTTTGTACCTGATTTTCTTATTTTAATAGCATATTTTTAGGACTGGTTTAGAAACTTAAACAATTGCTCAATTTGTTTCCTATTGAATAGAGCCGTTTTCGCTCCTTTAGAGGTGTTGGCAGATTGATTATCTATTTAAAATTCTTAACCATTAGCCTTATCTAGAACTCGATTGTTCTTCCAGTTTGTTAGTTTTCCATGTATCATCCAGCAAGTTTCTCTTATGTGTGTTAGTTTATTACAAAAATCACACCATAATTTTCTTTTATCATCTCCCTTCCTTTATTTATGTTTCATAACATTAGCAAAAGAATTAATTTCAGTTGTCATAGTAAGTACATAATTTTTCACAACTATAGATGGAGTGGAAGATTGTGTCATGACTTGTATTCTACTTTCCTCCCTCCTAACTTTGGAGAATATAGTTTGGCGAGTTGGCAATGGATCCTTCCCCAATATCTGTCCGCAAACTTCATCTATTTCTTTGTTTAAACTTGCCAAAAATTAAAATGCTCGATCCCTATCAAGCATTTTTATGTATTGAACACTATCAGCAACACATGACCATTCAAAATCATAAAAAATATCAAGCTCTTGCTACAGTGTCTTCAAGATATTAAAGTATTTTGTAACACTAGTATTACCTTGTTTAATCTCTTTGATCTTGTTTGTGATATCAAATACTTGGCCTGAAATTCTCATATTTGAATATATCTCGACCACATCATCCCATGACTCTTTTGCTATTAGTAAAAATATATATGTTTGGCTAATTTTTGGTTCTATATAGTTTATCAACCATGATATGATCATGGTATTTTTAGAATCTCATACTTCGAACTTGGAATCATCCTCTGCAGGTGTCATTGTTGTTTTGGTCAAATAGTTGATCTTTCTTCTTTCTCGAATATACAATTTTATGGACTGAGATCAATAAAGAAATTTTTGTCCATTGAGATTATACGTTGTAATCAGCAAGGATGGATTGTCACCTAAGCTGCTTGTTAGAGATGGAGGCATTGGTTTCATCTTCTCTCCTCCAAACATAGTAGCATAGGTTAACAAAGAAGTAGTTGGGGATGATTTGGACAGTGACAGAATAGAGGACTTTCAGCAATTAAGGTTGAAAGAAAGAAAAAAAATGATTCCTATAGAACCCAGGCTTTGATACCGTAAACACAAGAGAATATAATTTTTCTCATTCATTAATCTTTTCTGTATACAAAGGAAGACATATATAGGCTAATTATAACCCGTATAACTAATGAAATTATGTATAATATTTCATTCTAATTTATTTCCTATAATATGGGCTGATTTGATACAGACTGAGTGGTCCAAAATAGAGTATGAATTTTCTTAATTATGAGATTATAAAATATCTTAATTATGAAATTCAGAATCTCTTAATCATGAGATTTTTTACAAAGAGCATTAGTTAAGCAAATGATTATTTGTGTCTGTGTTTTCTACATATCGTATTCCTTATCACAGTAGATGGAATTCTCTGTTTCTAGCTTCTAAGTGGCCCTAACCAGCTGATGCAGAGTCTGATACAAATAAGATGAACTTGCTTTAATCACATTGGAAGCAAATTAGTTTATATACATATCTTGGGACTTGTTATGAATAGGTTTGGATAAGTTTCAAAATGCAGGACCAATTCAACTTGTAAATACATTGTCTATAAAAAACTGGAACATTCCTAGGTGGTTTAGGATCTTGGAATGCTTTTCAATTCCTTTCCATCAGATTTACTCCTTGTTTAGGCATCTAACATGTCATAAAGTTTATAGTGGTATCGCTTTTGTTTTATGATTTTCTTAGTTTATCAGTCTCCACACTAATAATTTTTTCAAGCATCAATAAGATGAATTGTTTGGTTTTACCGGATGACCAAATGCCTATTTTCATAAGTCTAATTGCTTTATGCTTTATAGATGTGTTTTTGTAGATGCTGGAGTTGCACCAATTGATCTGGAAACCAAGAGAAAGAAGGAGGAAATGAAAGCCCAAGAAGCTCAAAGTAGGGCATTTGCTGAGCATGGAGAGTTGGCACTTATTGCAGTTGATAGCCCACAAGTTGCCACAAGTGATCGAATCTCCTTAAGGCCCCCAACGCTTCAGGTGATCTGATTAAGTTTTACCAGTTATTAAGTTTAAATTCCTCAGTAGTAACAATAATTAGCACCCAACCTTCTCTAAACTGATTTAAATTTCAACTATTGGTTGCCTAATGGCAGCATGCTACTAAATTATATGTGTTTTAGAAATTGGTTGCAGAGATACCTGGGAATGGCCAATGTATAGTTTTTGGTTGTCATCATTGTTAGTTTATCTAGGAAAGAACAGCATTTGTGTTAATGGCTGATAACTCATTGATTCTAGGCACAATTATTTATTACATGATCTAAGTACTATAAGCCACTTAGGTACACAATGAATTTTGGAAGAATTAACTTACATTTCACAGAAATACACAAGTTTAACTCTATTATAGCTGATCATAACCTGAGTTCATGTTTGCTATAGTGACCCAACAAGGGCTTCTCACATGTCGTTGTGGTCCAGAAGGTTTCATGTGCAAAGTACATGATTATGTATTAGATCTCTCTATTGTTGATTGCAAGTAATAACTTGATGTATGATTAAAGGTGCAATCTCAACTTAACTCATCAAGTCAATCTTGTCTATTGTGGACAAGCATATGTTTATGTTGTAAGACAATTTAAGACCTAAATGTGTTTTTAAAACACCAAAATAGAAACACAAAGAACTAATGGGAAATTACTAATATGAAAATTACATATACCCTGCCATTATTGTTGAGAATTTCAATGGTTTCTCTTAGTATTTTGGTATTTCTTGGCTCACAACTTTCATTTTAGATGGTAAAAAAATTCTTAAAATAGAGACAGAGCCCAGGGACAAAAAACTCATTTATATATAGACGTTCTACCATCAAGAATGTTTTTCTCCATTATCATCAACCTCCATAACGTTCAAGGATTAATTTAAGTTCAAAATGTTTGGACCATAATGAATAAAGAAATTTAATGACAATGAATGAAGAAATTTAATATGAGAATTGTTGCATAATAAATGAAGAAATTTAATGAGAATAGTAACATTCTTCGTCTTGGTCCATATGTTTAATTTAATGACTTAAATTAATCTTATCGAACCAAATACATGAATCATAGCGATAAGTCCTCTAAGAGCGAGTATTATCATGTTAGAACCCTTATAGATTCTAAGCTTGGGGTTGATCTCTTTAGGGATCGACCTCCTTGGAACTCTATAGGGGTTCCTTTCTCCAAGTTGCTACTCAAAGGCTGCAGAAAATATTCATCTATTGCTTATCAAAAGAGGATGAATACATGGCTATTTATAGGGTTTCTAAACCCTAACTCCTAATAGGACTCCTACTCAAGACTCCTTAATTAAGACTCCTACTCATGACTCCTAATAGGACTCCTACTCAAGACTCCTATTCCTTCACAACTTCTAATTCTTCTCTAAAAAATAACCTCCAAACCCTAGTCGGCCTCTTCACCTCTTTAATGGAAGTTGGCTTAGGTAGGTTTTACATAAATGCCCCTCTCAATTAGGACTCTCCTAGCTAGAGTTCTAACAGACCCATGAATTCTTTAAATTAGTCTTGTCCTCGAGGTTGACAATCCATGAATTCTGGGAATTTGATCTTCAAGTCGTCATAGTTCTCCCAAGTGGCACCTTTTGTTGGTAAGTTCGGCCACTATCTTAGCACTTCAGTAGTGGGTTGTTGTTATCGAGTCACGATCCATCGATCAATAATGGCACTCGACTGGGCATGGAGTTTTTTGGCACAAGCACAATGTGTCCCTTATAACGTAATTCTTTTGAATCCTAATTATAATGAGCCACGGAGCTTGGTGCTTCCTCTAATTTTTTTATGATCTTACTGGTCTTCGGATCTTCCTGCCATTCCCTCTTAATATCCTCAGGGATGTTGCTAGTCGAAAGTGAAATGGTCGAAAATTCAGCTTGCTTGGATAACCATGAAAGCGCATCTGCAACAATATTCTCTTTCCCCTTTTTGTAAATTATTTCATAATCATATCCAAGAAGCTTTGTTACCCATTTTTGCAGCTCGAAGGAAGATATCTTCTACTCCAAGAAATATTTTAGGCTTTTATGGTCGGTCTTGATTTGAAAGCGTCGCCCGATCAAGTACGATCTCCATTTGGCCATCGCATGCACAATCGCGAGCATCTCCTTGTCATAAATATTCATTTTGAGATGGGAAGGAGATAATGCCTTACTGGTATAAGCGAGGGGGTGACCATCTTGCATTAGTACAACACCAATTCTGACTCTGTAGGTATCGTCTTCAATAACGAAAGTCTTGCCGAAGTCGAGTAGCGCTAGTACAGGCGTTGTCGTCATTACGGCTTTAAGTTTGTTGAAGGTGGTGGTTGCTTTGTCCAACCATTGGAAAGCATCTTTTTTCAGTAAGGAAGTAAGTGGTGCACTAATCTTTCCATCATTTTTTACGAACTTGCGGTAGTAGCCTTAAACTGAGAAAGCCACGTAGTAATTTTATGTTCCTCGAGGTCGGCCAGTTCTGCATTGCTCCAATTTTTGAGGGGTCCACTGCTACACCTTCCTCCGATATGATATGCCCAAGATATTTCACCTTCTGTTGAAGAAAGCAAAAAATTGTAGTGGTCGTTGTGTGTTCAAAAGGTGGTTTTCGGTATGTCTTCTTCGCACATTCGTATTTGATGATACCTGATCAAAGGTCCAACTTTGTGAAGATTTGTGCTTCCTTTCATCTTGCAATTCATCTACTATTGGAATAGGGTATTTGTCTTTGACGGTTATGCTGTTGAGAGCTCGGTAATCAACACACAATCTCCATATTCCGTCCTTCTTTCGTACGAGGAGCACCAGTGAAGAGTAGGGGCTGCAACTTGGCCGAATAACTCCTGCTTCGAGCATCTCTTTTACAATCCTTTCTATTTCATCCTTCTGGAGATGTGGATACTGATTTGGCTGAGTATTTGCTGGAGATTTTCTTGAAAGAATCGTTATACAATGATCATGTCGACGGGTAAGAGGTAGGTTGCGCGGTTCATCAAATATATCTGAAAATTCAGCAAGCAAAGAAAGTAAATTTAGATCTTCAAATTCTGTTGGCTCTCCCTTAGTTTGCTGCTCAAGTTGTACCAAAAAGCCGCTGCATGCTTTATGCAAAACCTTCTCCATTTGTTGTGTGCAAATTGTCGTTACGTCGCCCCAACGTTTCCCGTGCAGTATCACCTGTTTCTCTTTACTATAAAATTTCATAATTAGTTTCATAAAATTCTAAGAAACATCACCTAATGTTGTCAATCATTTAATTCTGAGCATGGCCTCATGATCATCAAGAGGGAGGAGGAAGAAATATGCAATCATCTCTTGGTCCTGCAGCAATAGTTTCGCGGGCATCTTTGGTCGCACTTTAGGGTTCTGCCGTCGGCGACCTTTATATCGGACTTGCTGCACCCTTCAATGTGGAGTGCCATCCGAGCTGCAACCTTACTATTTAGGAAGTTATTAGTGCTGCCCGTGTCGATGGGAACAGTGATCGATTGTTGTTTGAGAAGGCCTCCAACTTTCATCGTTTGCGGGTTTGAGTAGCTAGCTAGTGCGTGTACCGTAACGTCGGTCGGTTGAGGCTCTTCTTTTGTATCTTCTTCTTCATGTTCAATGACCTCTTCTTCTACTGGTTCAATCATAAGAAGTCTCCCTTTACTACAACAATGCTCACGGCTCTACGACTCGTCGTAGTGCCAACATAACCCCTTCGCAGATCGCTCCCGAAGCTATTCTCTTGTTAACCTCTTTGGTTTAGGGACTCGGTCAACAGTAGGGGGGGTTGAGGGCTTCAATATTGCTGGTTGAGGAGCGACCCTAGTCCTCCGAGCTTCATGGTTCAATTGCTCCTCTTGATGTCGTGCGAAAGAGATGGCTGCCATAAGAGTGTACGGTTGTCGCGCTTTAACTTCTCCTCGGATCTCCGGCTTCAAGCCCTCAATGAAGGTCCTCAATAGCTGTTTTTGAGACCAATCACCAGTTTGATTAGATAACCTTTCAAACCTGGTTTGGTACTCCTGAATGGTGGAGGTTTGTCGGATCTTTGCTAATTGTCCGTCAATATTCTCGTAATCGGTTGGTCTGAAGCGGATCAGTAGTCCTTCTTTGAATTGTCGCCATGAAAGGACTCCATAAGTGTGTTCAAACCAGTCAAACCACTGTATGGCATCCCCTTCAAGATGTATAGCTGCAATTTTCACCATAGATACGTTCGCGGTTTTGTGGTACCGAAAATGTCGCTCCGCACGCAAAATCCAACCAATCGGGTCTCCTTCTTCCTATCTAGGGAAGTTTAATCTCATGCGTAGATAGTTGGGATTGGTCATAGAGCCTCCCCTCCCTTGGAAGTCATCTCTTCGGGCTTGGTGCGATTGGGCAAAGCTCTCTCCTTGATGTGATTTCTTTGGGCTTAGTGGTCGGCCCAATCTGAGTTCGGTAAAGAGCGTCCAAATCTTATCCTCCATTCGCGCCTCGAAGGCTTCGAATTTAGCATTGATTGCCTCCTCAGATGCCATAGTATATGCCTCTAAATATGTGATGTTAAGATCTCTCTTTTGTTGTTAGGTTAAAGGCATGTATAGGTTGAGAGAAGTGATGGTCGAAAGGGTTGGTGGATCGATGGATGTAGGCTACGATTTAGGCTTGTTTTGTGGCTATTTTGGGTGCAGTTTGAGGGTGTGGTTTAGTGGAGTTTTAGGGCTGTAGATGAAAGTTTTGGATCTGTGGTAGATGGCAGCAAAGGTTTGATAGAAATTAGTGGAAGTTGCAGCAAGTATATGCTGTCTTGTAAGAGTAGAATTGTCGTCGAAGAAATAATGGTCCCCAATAGTATGTGCTGGTTGAGGAGCGACCCTAGTCCTCCGAGCTTCATGGTTCAATTGCTCCTCTTGATGTCGTGCGAAAGAGATGACTGCCATAAGCGTGTACGGTTGTCGCGTTTTAACTTCTCCCCGGATCTCTGACTTCAAGCCCTCAATGAAGGTCCCCAATAGTTGTTTTTGAGACCA